TGTGATATTTGTCTTTCTCTGCTTGGCTTGTTTCACTTAGGATAATACTCTCCAGGTCCCTCCATGTCGTCTCAAAGGATAAGAGATCTTTCTTTCTTACAGCTGCATAGCACTCCATTGTGCATGTGTACCACAGCGTTTTTATCCATTTGTCTACTGATGGACACTTGGGCTGTTTCCAGATCTTAGGAATTGTAAATAGTGCTGCTATGAACATGGGGGTTCATACATTCTTTCTGATTGGTGTTTCAGGCTTCTTAGGGTATGTCCCTAGAAGTGGGATCACTGGGTCAAATGGCAGTTCAATGGATCTATGGAACCAAAAAAGACCCTGAAGAGCCACACCAATCTTGAAAAAGAAGAACAAAATTGGAGGGATCACATTACCAGATTTCAGGTTATACTACAAAGCCACTGTAATCAAAACAGCCTGGTACTGGAACAAGAACAGGCACATAGATCCATGGAACAGAATAGAGAACCCAGAAGTGGACCCAAGACTGTATGCTCAATTAATATTTGACAAAGGGGGCAAGAGCATACATTGGAGTAAAGACAGCCTCTTTAATAAATGGTGTTGGGAAAATTGGATAGCTACATGCAAAAAAATAAAACTAGACCACAGAACTTATATGCATGTATGCATGAACAATGGACATGGACAACAAAGCTGGGGACAGGACAGGGAGGGTGGGGGAGGGGTATCAGTGGGGGAAAAAGGAGGAACATCTGTAACAAAAATAAATAAAATTTTTTTTTTTAAAGGAAAAAACCCTCCCCCACAAAGTAGAATAACTTTCTCTTGCCAAGACACCAATAACTTTTTCTGAATTCTTTTTTTGTTTGTTTTTTTTTATCCTCACCTGAGGACATTTTTCCATTTCTTTTTTGTTCAGATAGAGTGGGAGGGAGAGAGAGAGAAACATCGACATGAAAGGGACACATCGAGTGGCTGCCATCCACACGACCCAACCAGGGCTGGGGACAAACCGCAACTGAGGTACGTCCCCTTAGCGGGAACTGAACCCGGATCTGTCTGGACCACAGGCCGACGGTCTAACCGCTGAACCAAACCGGCCAGTGCTGAAATTCTTATTCCTTGCCTTTCCTCCTAAGAGGTTGGCCTGTTGTTTCTTAATAATTTGTGTTTTATTTAATTTCAAATGGATTTTGCAGAAAATAAAAGAAAACATTTAACTTTGTTTCTAAAAGAATTTATATAATTCAGCTCTGAATTCAGTGAAGAAAAAGGAAGAAAGGGACAATTAATGGCTATTTTGCACCTGCTACATGCCAAACATGTCTACATACATTATCTCACTTGAGCCTGACAATAATACTTCATAGTAAATTTAGCTTTGATGTCAGAGACAAGAAAACTCAGGCTCATAGAGGTTAAGCTATTCTTTCAAGGTCAAATGGCAAGTTATAAGACTAGGGTTGAAACAAGAGCTGCCCAACTCCAAAGCTTATGCACTTTCTACTCTACCGTGAAGTTCAGTCTCATGAAAAACAAAACAAACAAACAAAAAAAACACCACTCCTGAAAGGGTCTTAGCATTTTAGGCATAAAAGAATACTAGTTACAATTCTCTGGAGCCTCTAAATTCTGTTTTGTATTTGCACTGAATCCTGACCACTACCGCCCTCCCTAAAGAACCCCACAGCACACACTTTTAGTCCTCCCAATCGAAAGTCAGCACCGAGGACAGCTCCCGAGCCACGTTTTCAGGCGCTGTCCTTGGTTTTTTTATGGAGCTCACAGGCCCATTCTTAACTTCCCAAGCGGCGCTGAGAGAGGAGGAACTGTAAGAAAGTATAAGATGGGACCCTCTGACACTATGGCGGAAATTAGCATATTTCCCAGAAGACCAAGATAAAAATGCATGTGAGAAGAACGAGGGAACCAAACAGATGGGGCAATCAAATGGAGGTGGAATGAGCTCATCAGGATTCCCAGCATACGGTGTAAGCCCATATGGGGCTCTCTGCTGACCTGGGAGCCAGGAGACAAAGTGAACGAGTGGGTGGTTACTAGGCTGCCACGTCAGTTACACTAAGAGGTGAGGTGGAGCTGATTCACTGCTGCAGATTTGCACGACTGTTCAAGTAGAGGAAAACCTGTGGGCCCTGGTCTCTGCCACTCATCACCATCCTCACTGGGAGCATGAGTCAGAAATGCAGGATCCTTTGGGCAGACAAGGTTGTTGTGCTATGAGTAAATCGAGGGTGAGTTTTCATGTTGTGGAGAGCAGGTTTCAACCACAGCCACAGCATCTTCGGATGTGAAAGTTTACCTGCTGTATACACAAACACCCTGCCTTCCCATGCTCATCCTTGGAGACAGGTGGTTCATAACACAAATAGAAAGAACAAAGTCCTGGAAACTTCATCACACTGAACAGAGATTCTTTCTCAAACTACCAGCTCTTGAGCACAGCCAGAAGGGTCTTTGGAGAGTCCAGTCTAATCCCCGTATCTTGTATACAGAGAGGAGAAATGACTTGCCCCAAACCACTGAGCTAGTGACAGAGTTGTTAATAGGACTCAGTCCCCTTGTTCCTAAGCCAGCCAACTTTCCATCAGAAAGACAAAATAAAACCCTGAATAGCACAGACCCTCTTATTTATTTATTTATTTATTTATTTATTTATTTATTTTTAATTCTCACCCAAGGGCATGCTTAAAGAGGGAGGAAAGGAGGAAGGGAGAGAAGGAGGGAGGGAGGGAGAGAGAGAGAGAGAGAGAGATTGGTTGCCTTCCGTAAGTGACAGAGAATCAAACCAGCAACCTTTGGGTGTATAGGATGATGCTCAACTAACTGAGTCACTCTGGGCAGGCAGCATATACCCTTTTAACTAAGCCCTCTAATTATACTGCTTTCAAAGAAAATAACATCTGAACAGACTCAGTCTTTCCATCTGGGCTCTGGCAAAGTCACTGATTACTTTTCATATCGAAATCTCTTTTGAGAAATTTAAGAGTAATTATTTTAGGATATAAGCTTTGTTATTTTTATGTCTTCTTATACACTGCTTTCTTTGTGCAGGAGAAAATTAGTTCTGGAAACACTTGCTTTTATTTAATTACTAAAGGAACCAGCCTCTATTTCAAGTAGTTGCACATACGAATGTATCAGTCTGTGTCAAGAAAGGATATATGGAACAATATAGGCTTACTACTCTATTATCGCATACAATTAAGATCCACCTAGGTCTATGAGTAAAAAAAAAAAAATCAAACCTTTGAGTGAAAATTGAACGTGAAATCCTTATCTGAATAATTCTGAACATGTCTGGATTTGGTGCCTTTTGGAATCATCTAAAATGCAATATTTTATAAAATGCTTTGCAACCTAGTTACCTTCATTATTGCAATTTGTGTATATGTGAGCTCACTTGAACTTTTGGAGTTTTCAAGGAGCTGAAGTAAGAAAGATGTAGGAGGAATGAATGTATTCAATGTCATGTTTACAATGTGAAACTGATACCTGCTGGTGATGCAGACCAATTGAGACATTAGCTCGATACCCACCCACTGCCCCATACCCACCCCCAAACCTTTTCTACTATTGAATGCTCTTACCTGAACCATCATTGCATCCATTGTCCTCTGCTTTGGGTGTTATGTAGACCAGACTTCCTGTCTCTAATTTTATCCACAAGGAGATGTTCATGAATAGAACTTTTCTTGTAATATAGCAATATTGTCCTTGAAAATCCACAACTATTTACATAACAGGAGCTATTGTTTGAAGTGCAAAGCAGGTCAAAATTCGGTTTCTGAAGATTAATCACTGCAGTCTATTTTATATTATCATAATAATTTCATTTATTTGGATACAATTTGTTTTCAGAATCAACCTCAGCTTCTGTGCACAAGTGACAAATTCATCTGTTTCTGGTATAATGGATAATGTGATTAATGACCTTGCAACTGAGTTTCTTAAAAAACACGAGAAAAAAATAAAGATCTCCATTTATAATGTGCAGTAAACCAGCTCAGTCTGCAGCTGTGCATTAAAATCTCTCTGAACTTGTTTGTAAATCACAGACAAGATTTTGAAACAAATTTGCTCCTGCCTTTCGGGGTTTCTGTCCATATCTGTTCTCTCCAAGAATCTGAGGACAGCGGTCTCAGAGAAACTGGGCATATGGCCACCCCATCTACAAAGGTGGGGCACTGTGGTACTCTGTAGCACCATTGTGAGGACTGCGATAGAACGAACCCCATCAAGCCCAGGTCTTGCTGAATAAGGTCACCGCCTGGTGGGCTGTCCTGGGTACACCTGGGAGAGCCCTGCAAGGGGCCCTGTGACTTTGGCCACCACTCCAGCCTCTTGGATGCAATTTGTGCGAGTGTCCCCTTCTTGCAGTCAGCATCTGGAGCCTGTTTCTGGTCCCCCCTGACTTAGAATCTTTCCAAGGTGGGGTCAGGGACGTGGATGCGGAGGGTGTCTTGGGGAACCTCGTGCGTGTCCTTCCCGCCTTCAGGGCCAGGTGGCAGCAGCCCACGCCAGCCGCGGTTGGCTCGCGAGGACAGCCCAGGGTTCGAGACCCTCCTGGGGCTTCTCACCTTCCTCACTCGTGAAGCGGGGTCACCCCCACCCCAGCCCCAGGGCTGTGGCGACCCCTAAGCGAGGCCTCCCGCCGTGCCGGAAGCCCAGCCGCCTCGTCTGGGGCGCTGGGGCACCTGCGGGCTCCCTGCGTCTGCTCAGCCCGCGCCGTCCGCGTCCTCGGGTGGGTCCGAAGGGCGCCTGAACACCCGGCCAAGGCTCCCGAGGTCACCCCGAGCATTTTTTTTTACCTCAGCCCTCCCTTTCCGGATGGGCCCCAGGGGCCCGCGCTGGTGCCCGGTGGGGGCCGCGCGATGAGAAGGCACTCCTGCCCCGCCTCCGCGTGACGCGCGCCGGCCCGGCCAATCAGAGCTCGCGGCGCCGCACCCCACGCTTCGCCACCCCCCAGCTTAAGAAAGGGCGCGCGGGCCGCCGAGCCAGAGCGTCGCACGGGCGGAGTGTGCGGCTGCGCCACGGCGGGCTGGTCCGCGGACCCCGGCTCCCAGTGCCCTCCGGCGCCGTCCGGGCCGCAGCCTGCGAGGAGGCGCCCCAGCCACGCGCCCCGACGGCGCCCGCCCGCCGCGGATGCTGGCGTGAGAGCGGCGACGGCGGGATGCTGGCCCTGCTGGCTGCAGGAGTGGCGCTCGCCGTGGCCGCCGGGGCTCAGGACGTCCCGGCGCCCGGCAGCCGCTTCGTGTGCACGGCGCTGCCCCCGGAGGCAGTGCACGCCGGCTGCCCGCTGCCCGCGATGCCCATGCAGGGCGGCGCGCTGAGCCCCGAGGAGGAGCTGCGGGCCGCGGTGCTGCAGCTGCGTGAGACCGTCGTGCAGCAGAAGGAGACGCTGGGCGCGCAGCGCGAGGCCATCCGCGAACTCACGGGCAAGCTGGCGCGCTGCGAGGGGCCGGCGGGCGGCAAGGCGCCGGGCCGGGCGGCCGCAGGCAAAGACACCATGGGCGACCTGCCGCGGGACCCCGGCCATGTCGTGGAGCAGCTCAGCCGCTCGCTGCAGACCCTCAAGGACCGTCTGGAGAGCCTCGAGGTAGCGGGGCGCAGGGGGCCTGGAGGGGGTGATGAGCAGAGGTGGGGTTCGTGGTCCTGCCCGCGAGGCCGTGTGGGATCAAGCTGGATTTGGGGACGAGGGCAGGGAGTTCTTGATCCTACTCCGGAACTTACTTGCGTGGCTCGCACCCGCCACCCCGTAAGTCCCCCGAGTGCCCACTGTGTGATCATTCACTTAACGAGGTCCGGGCTGGCCGAACCAGGACGGCCTGCTTTCTTCTTGCAAATCCGAGTCTCCCGGAGCCCGACGCGCTCCCGGAGGCTGTGCCGGGTGACCTGAGGCTGCCGCTTGAGGTCAGCGGCCCCTAGCATCCCGCATTTACGTCTATAAATCAGATCGGGGTGGTCTAGAGCGGGCGGATGCCTAGGGAGGTGGGGGCGGGGGTGTTTCAGCAGAAGGGGAGCGCAGGCTGGAGGGTCGCCGGCCACACCAGGATTCACCTTGCAGGAAGCCCGGTGAACTTCAAAGACGTCTGTCTGCCAACGGCGCAGCCCTGAGGTGCCCTTCCAGTTTGGAACTTAGAGAGAGAAAGCTTCATTTAATTTCCCTCTTTACTTTTCACCCTATTTACAAAGTGTGGGCGTTTCTGTTAAACATGTTTACCAAAATACTTATTAGCAAAGCTAGGTTTCAATGACAGGTGGTAATTATTGCAAAATGATCCGAGGATTACCTGTGGCAAGATGGTTAAATACAGTATTTCCAGCATCTGTGTAACCCTTAATTCATTATGATTAACAAAAGCTAACATGTTTGAAGCACTAAATATGTGCAGGGCATATTATCTAATTTTAACGCTTGCAACAGTCCTGGGAAGCAGATCCTAGTAACTGCATTTTGCTATTTGGAACCCTAGAGGGATAAATAGTTTGTCAGGGACTCATGGCTGGGCATCCGCAGGCTGCCTCCGGAGTCAACATTGGTGATAGAGGAGTAAAAGAAATAGGCTGGGAGGATCTAGAAACAGCATTAAAAGCAAAGATTCCTGGAATTCGAACTAGTCATGCGTTAGATCTCTCATTTTCCAGTGATATCTCTGTAAGCAACCATATGCTACACTGGAACTTGGGGGCTGTTTTCATTTCTAGATGAGAGTGCATCGGCTTTGAGTACCATTTGATTAACTCTTAAAAAAAAAATTCCAATCTGTGTTTTTGGTCTTTACTGGAAAATGATAGATGTTGGTTAAACAGTTGGCTTTTTAGAGGAGCAAAATCGATTTTTGAGAGGGGGGAAAATAAGATTCGTAAGTTTCAAAGACTGCAGGAAAGTGATTGTCTGATTTTGAAGTCTTTTTCCTACCACAAAAGAACAGAAAAGCAACAGTGAAATGCTCCCCTTTGTGCCATCAGCTTGGGTGGATTGAACGCTCCTGTTTTGGAAGCGTCTCCCTTTGTGGCGGAGCCAGCGGCATCTCACAATTTCTTTTGAACTGGCCTTGACACTTCTCCTTCCTGTCTCCCCCCCCCCCCCTTCGCCCCGCCCCGTGACCCAAAGCACCAGCTCCGAGTGAACGTGTCGAATGCCGCGTTGCCCGGCGACTTTCGAGAGGTGCTCCAGCGGCGGCTTGGGGAGCTAGAGAGACAGCTGCTGCGCAAGGTCGCGGAACTGGAGGACGAGAAGTCCCTGCTCCACAATGAGACCTCGGCTCACCGGCAGAAGACCGAGAGCACCCTGAACGCGCTGCTGCAGAGGGTCGCCGAGCTGGAGCGAGGTGAGCGCGCTTTGCTTGTTTCCCTGTCGCCCTCTGCCTGACATCCCTCCCGACCCCCCACCCCCACCCCCACCCCACCCCTTATCTTGGATGCAGTGTAGGGAAAGCTGAGCCCAGAGCAAGCGACAGCTGGCAGGAAGGGGCCAGCCCCAGGGGTCTCTTGCCCATGTACAGACTGGCCACCTGGGTGGGCAGTGGTTGCTCCCAGACCCCTACCTGCTCACTCTGTTCCCACGTTTGCTGATACGGCTCTGAGAGGCTCTGAGATCGCTGTCCAGCCCCCCCCCCCCCCGAACTTACCTGACAGGTGCAGAAAACCACCTGATTCCTTACCACGCGAGCAGCAGCCCACCTTTCCCTTCTCTCGTTGGCCCCAGGCTGCTTAGCCTTGTCTGCCACCTGCAGCCTCTGATTTATTGGCCCGGCCTTTTAATGCCATAATTGGTTTTAAGGAAGTTTCTTTGGAACCTCTAAGCTGTTTGATATCAACAGAGGGCTCCAGCTTTCAGGGTCGGGGCCCCCTCCTCTGCCTTTTGGCTCTCCCAGCTCTAATTAAACCTGTCTGTTGTTACCAGGCTAATGATATTACCAACACTGAGCCTTATTAAATCAGCAAGGCTGCCCACCTGCAAGGGTAGACGTTATTTCTCTCTGTTAGATAATCACACCGTCGTGAAGCCCGTGGGCATTTGCAGATTAAATACTAGTGGCTGCATATCGTGGAAAGAGGGACTGTTGCTCCCTGCTCTGTCATTCATTAGTTGAATGCCCTGGGGTAAGTCACCTACTTCTCAGCCTCGGTGCCTCAACTGTTCACCCTGTAAAGCCAGGAGTTGGGGCCTTCTCGTTCTCTTGAATTTTGCTTCAGCCTAATGTGAGGCCTTATATCCTGGCCTGGTCCCACCTGTGACTCCCCCAGGTGACCAGGTCTCCTCAGCCCTGGTCTCCTCACCAGGAGCTCAGCAGCTCTGCAGCCTGTGCTGAGAGTGCCCTGCCGTGGGAGGTCAGGATGGATCAGACAAGACTACACAGTCAGCAGAGAGGAGTAAATACTACACGTGGAGCCAGAGTCTAGTATTTCTATGCTGCCTGTTGTCAAGTGGTTGAGAGGTTGACGCCGAGCCCTGCTGCGTTCCTTTGCAGAAGGTCTTCCTTGGATCGTGTGAACCTGGCACCAAGGAGCTTCCTCATGTGTTATTTACTGTGACAGAAAATGAGTTTGGGGGGTCACGGTGGAGAAAGGTTGATCATTCTGGCTCCTGTACTGCAGAAGGGGTGAGGAAGGGACTGAGTTAGTCCACTGGTGACACAGGCAGTTTTGTTCTGGGTCCTGAGAGCCTGCCTGTCTTTTGATGATAATGGAGATTGTGCCTAATAAACACTCACTGAATGAGGGCATTTAGGCTTCTTCACTGACAGCGTCTGGTCTCCAAATCAGAGGGAAGCTTTTGCCATGACAGCTCACAGAACTGGGTGATACCCTGCAAATTTTTTTAAAAATCTGATAACCAGAGGCAGGTTCTTCACTTGTATGTGTTTACTTTTGTTGTTATTTTTGAGCTTAAATCAAAACTGGATTGAAAATTGCTTAGACCCATTTAAGAGTACCAATCGTTTTCAAAGATTTTTGGATTCCCACCAGTCCCAGCTGGGTCCAGAAGGGTCGGAGCTCTGGCCAGGTTGTTACCCCCAGTGGGGTGGGACATCTCTGCCTTCCTCTGCCTCCCACTGGTCCCAAACTGCAGGAAATGGTCAATAATTGCCACCTTCTCTTGGGGAGGAAAGGGCAAATCGTTAGCCAAGCCATGAGCGCATGTCAGGGATTTAGTCCAAAGGCCACTTCTGGATTAACTTGTAGTGTCAGGACATGAGCACCTGAATCTGTTTACCTGGCAGCAGTGATTATTTCCTGTGAGAAGTGACAGGGGCTTACTGGCTTCACAAGTGTCTACCAAGTGCCTGGGACCCTGTAATATGCCTCCATGCCCATCAAGTGGATTCCTGACCTTGCCCTTGTTAAAGGAGCTGAAGGGTCCAAGAGTTCAAGGACATAACAAGACTTGGCTGAGGGAGGGTTCTGTGGCTTAATTTAACCAGAAAACGAAGTCCAGCTTGTGTCTACCCACCTCTTCAAGCTTTAACGGGTGAGCTCACTCTGGGTTACTGCTGGAGTTTCAGCACCTTGGAGAGTGGCTTCCCAGTAGCAGGTGCTCCATTGATGGAAGGACCGACTTGGGGGTGGGGGAGTCCAGGTGAACTGTGGCACAGGGCCTTGTGGGAGGGGGTGGGCTAATGTGCTGCTGGCCTCTCTTCTCCCCCCCAGGCAACAGTGCGTTCAAGTCACCAGATGCATTCAAAGTGTCCCTCCCCCTCCGCACAAACTACCTGTATGGCAAGATCAAGAAGACACTGCCCGAACTGTATGCCTTCACCATCTGCCTGTGGCTGCGATCCAGCGCCTCTCCCGGCATTGGCACCCCGTTCTCTTATGCAGTGCCTGGACAGGCCAACGAAATCGTGCTGATAGAGTGGGGCAACAATCCCATCGAGCTGCTCATCAATGACAAGGTGAGTCTGGCCTGGATGCCCCCTTCCCCATCCTGGGGGCAACAAAGGTCAGGAAATTGCAGGGAATGTGACAGCTGGCTGCAGGCTGTCCTTCCCAAGGTGGGGACGGCTCTGTTCTGACTCAGTCCTGCGCTGGACAGCTGACGAGGCAGGGGACAGGGGGCAGGCAGCTGCAGTTGGTGGAGAGCCAAGCTCGAGCTGGTGGGAAGCAGCAGAGGCTCCGGGCCAGAGGTCCTGGAGGGAGCAGAATGAGCCGAGATGTCTGCACGCCAGCCTGAATTGTCATTGGCCCTCAGGCCAGCCCACGAGGGCTGTTTCCCAGGGCTGCACTGATTAGAGGAGAGTACTTCTCATGAGCATATCTTTATTTGGCGGGGGTGTTATTGAGATATAATTTACATATGGTAAAATTTACATGTTTTTACTGTGTGGTTTGACCAGTTTGGGCAAATGTAGGCAGTTGTGTATCCATCACTACAATTAGAATATAGGGTTTCATCACCCTCCACATGTCCTCATTTCTCTTTGTGGTCAGCTCCTCTTTCTACCCCAGCCCCTGGCAACCACTGAGCCATTCCTCAGACCTGAAGTTTTGTTTTTCCTAGAGTAAGTGTCCCCTTTTGATAGACTGGCTGGTTTTCAGGAGTGTGGTCTCCCCAAGAGATAAGCTCTGGGAGTGTCTGTGGGACCCTCCAGCAGCCCCACTTCGACTTTTATTCTGAAGTCAGATGCCACAAAGCCAAAAATGCATCCTCACATCCTCCTTGTTGGAACTGAGCATTAGAATGGTTGCCCGAGCCCGGGAGCCCTCTCCACCCTGGCCCCTCGCTCTGTCTTTAGTGAACTGCCCTGGGTGGTTTGCTTAAATGAGAAACACTGTGTAATCCACCTGCTGGACTCCTTCCAGCAGTGACAGTGTCCCTGAGTCGGGGACTAATTGTTCTAAATGACACCCTTGGATACCACCCTGAGGGCCAAGAACCTTGTTTTCCTCTCCAATTAGATGTCCTATAAACAGCCAATTCCTGGGAGTTAGTGCATGGGGTTGCTAGGACACCAGCAGTCACAACAGGCTGGTTGCAGTGAGCTGGCCTGTCGGGCACTCAGGGTGCTAGTGGATGGGTGCAGGTGGGAAACGCCCTTCCTCTACTCATGTGTAACTGCAGGACTTCGGTCCTCTGCATGGCAGGACAGCCACACACAGTCCCCGAGCGCCACAGTGGACGTTGGGCTTCGCCTGCAGAGTGCAGGTGCCTCGTCTCACTGTTGTCCAGAGAAGTTTGCCCAGGGGGGCCCTGACTGCACTTCGGGTTCTCCAGCATGGGTGTTCCAGGCCAGCGCGGGGTAGCTGTCTGTCCCATCTGCTGGCTCGGCACAGTATCCTGGACCCTCAGCCAAGCCAGGACCGAGTGTCCAGTTGAAAGCAGGGCCACCCTGGGGTTAGGGGCTTGTGCCCAAACTTCCCTTTTCTCCTGAGTATTTGATGGCACATGGTGTCTCCAGCCAGAGAGTCGTTCTGAGGTGCGCGGGTCAGACATGTCACTCACAGAGCAGAGAAGGGGAGACCAGGAGGGACCCCATGTGATGGGAGTAGCAGTAGGCTCAAGTGCTTCTGTCCCCTCAGATCAGACCTCTGGGAAACCCATGGGGTGCCTCACCTGCACGTTGCCACCCACAGGTTGCACAGCTGCCCCTGTTTGTCAGCGATGGCAAGTGGCACCACATCTGTGTCACCTGGACAACACGGGACGGCATGTGGGAGGCCTTCCAGGATGGGGAGAAGCTCGGCACTGGGGAGAACCTGGCCCCCTGGCACCCCATCAAGCCAGGGGGCGTGCTGATCCTCGGACAGGAGCAGGTGGGTACGGGAAACTGAAATATGGGCGTGTGTGGGCCAGACAAGCAGCATAAGGCCGGGCCTGCAGGCTGCCCCCTTGTACTGCCCAGCCACCTGCCTGCCCGCGGTGACCACGGTGGCATGGCAGCCAGCCTGAATGGGTGAGGTCCGTGCTGGCTCTGCTCATACTGCCTTTTTGCCTCAGGACAGGGGACCAGGTTGGCATGGTGTGCTCAGACAGTTTCCAGAATGGAGTGCCCCTGGGGTCATGGGTCATCTCTGCCAGGCACAGTGTTGATTCAGGATGCCAGGGGGCTGGTATGGCATCTCCCCGGAGCTGCTGGTGCAGGGTCTGGGGGCACGTAGGGAATTTCTGCGGGGTGCTCAGCCATGGGGGGATGGGAGGAAAGAGTCAGACCTCAAGGGTTGCCACCCAGAACCTCACCGTCTGGGAAAGGGGGACGCTAAGCTGGCCACCTGCTTTCCGGCAGATGACCGTGGATATTTCAAACCTGTGTTGGAGGTTTGCAATGGAAAATGACAGAGCAGACACCTGGTGTTTTGGGGGCCAAGTCTGGGCTCTTCCTTGGCCCCCGCCCTCCTCACTTCCCTGTCACCTCTCCTCTGGGAGGGGCTGGAAGCCAGGAGATGCAGGTCTGGTCCTAGCTTTGGGACTGTGGGCAAATGTCCCCTCGAGCTAACCTGATCCCATCCGTAAACTGGGTGGTTGGAGGAAAGACCTCTCCCATGCCAGAGTTGGGGGCGTCAGGAAAATGCCCCGGTCCCCTCCGCCCCATCTGTCCCCGAAGACAGTCACGTGCCAGGAGGATTAGCTTCTGAGCCGGAACTGACATGGTTCTGTCCCCTCCTCAGGACACCATCGGGGGCAGGTTCGATGCCACACAGGCATTCGTGGGGGAACTCAGCCAGTTCAACATATGGGACCGTGTCCTCCGTGCCCAAGAAATTGTCAACATCGCCAACTGCTCCACGAACATGCCGGGCAACATCATCCCGTGGGTGGACAACAACGTGGACGTGTTTGGAGGGGCTTCGAAGTGGCCCGTGGAGACCTGTGAGGAGCGCCTCCTTGACTTGTAGCCACTCTGTCCTCTGCTTACTCCCCTAGTCAAACTGTCTGAACCTCCTGCCAGGATGGGCTGGGCCCCAGAGACTGAGGTTCTGTGGCAGCGTATGTCACTGGCTTATGGCTTATTTGTTCGTTGCTGAGATGTTGTTGTTTTGGGGGTAGGGCCAGAGTCCCTGGGGAAAAGCCCTGAACTGCAGGGGTGGGTCTATCTGACTTCCTGCTCCGGGGGATCATAGACCTTCAGGCCCTGTTCAGAACCCCTGTAAATGCTAGTGCACCCCAGCCTGCCCACCCCTCGGATCCTTGGTGTCTCCTGTGCGCTTTCTGTCCGTCCCCTTTGCAGGCTGTGCAGCCTGGAGTGGCCGCGTCCTTTAGTGTTGAGTTTATCCTGCCGCCACTGAGCACGTAGTGAAGCAGCCCCCCCCCCCCATCGTTCTTTATGCCACGAGCGAGGAGGGCTGGCTGTGCAGACACTGTCCTGCCTTCTCCGAGATTGAGGGGGTGTCTGTGGCCCCTCGATGGGGCTGGGAGGGGGCGCTCAGAATGGAGAAGGTCTGTGGTGGCCACCGTCCCTCCCCCTCTGTCACCTCCCCCTCAGATCAATGCTTTGTCACTGACGACGGCTTTCAAAGGCCTCTTTTCTCCACTGGTGCCAAAAGTTCCGTTGCAGCTTTTACAACCACTCGGTATGGTTTGGGGGGTTTATTTTTCCCAGCGGAAAAGAACAGCCATTAGCAGTCTCCCATCTTTGATGTCTCACCTCATTGCGAGGCATGTGCTCCTTTCCACCCGTGTTGGTTCCTGTGAGCACTTGACTGTCTCCAGGGTTCCCCCCGGGACTTTCAGCAAGTGGGCGTCATTTGGCTGATATTTTGCTTAGTGACTCCAGGCTGCTTCATTTGTTGGGCAGAGGGAGCAGTCACTCTTCTAAAGACCAAGTGATTAAGTGGGGGAAGTTTATAAAGCTAAATATTATATATTTTATTTTTCATACATGTCCGAAGTGCAAACCTGTGGGAATTCCATTTGTAAGACCAAGCTGGCATGCCCATCCTGACACTGTACGTACGAGACGACGGTGGAATTTTGATTAAAACGCACTGGAAGATGCTTCGCTGTCTGTTTCTTTGTGCCGGGTGGAGGGCAGGGAGGGGTCAGGCTCTGCACCCTTGCCCCCAGGCAGAATGAGGGCCACTCTTGTGAGCCTGGGCCTGGTTGCAGTGGGCACGCCTGGGGCCAGCGTCCGGTGGGCGCAGGGAGCCGAGGATGCTGGCTGAAGAGCGTGGTGCCCTTCCCTCCTTAACTCCAGGCTCAGGCCGTGGATGCCCTGCAGGCTCTGCCCAGCAGGCTCTGCCCAGCCTCCCCGTCCTCAGCCCAACCCTGTCTTTCAACCAGGAACTGAGCTTGGCCAGATGAACCTCAGCCCCAGGCCTGATGAGTGTTCAGCACCCACTCTGTGTGGGCTCTGCCAAACATCTCATTTACTCCTCCTAACAGCGATCTTAGTTCACAGGTGATGCATGGCACAGTTAAGCAGCGACATTTGTATCACACAGCTGTGGGGGCAGAGGCCGATTAACGCCAGCCTGTGGTTCTGAATGCTCTGCCCCTTCTGCTGTCCACTCGCACCCACCCCTGCCCTCTGGTTGGCTCCGAGGGATCTAGTGTCACTGTGCCTTCCCAGAGCCACCTCTGTGTGTCCACCTGGCCCAGGTGGGGTGGCAGTCTCTCTATCTCCACAAACACTAGGCACCCCCCCCCCCACTACCACTTTCCATTTTTGTATCTTGACTCTGTCTCCGTAGCTACAGAATTAGCTTAGTTTGTTGTCTCCTTCCTAAGTAGCAATGTCTAAATGTCTATTCTTCTAAGGGATTCGAGTCCAATCTTGGTTACAAATGACACGGTATGCTGGCTTACTTGGTGCCATGACCTCTAAAACTAAGGTCAGTGGGTCCCAAAGTCCATTTTCAATCTTGGGCCATACGATTTGGCAGAAGCTGAGTATCGTTCGTGTTGGGTAGAACAGGGAATCACGCCAGATTCCCTGACTGGAGACCTGACCCGGGGTTGATGTTGGGTGGCCACAGAGAGTCGATTGGATTGTTCCCGGGGATTTCAGGATGAGAAGGAAGCTTGTCAAGGCCGGGGTCGTGCGTGTTCGGCTCTGTGACCGGCCTTGACATGCCGCTGCCTTTGCGTTGTTTTCTCAAGGAAGCACAAGGCAAATTTACCCGGTGGTTTCACTTCTCTCTGCAAAGCAGTCATGCCCTCCGACGTTGTCAGTGCAAATATTCACGAGCACGTTTTAAAACCCTGTCCAAGCAGAAATAAAACGGAGGATTGCATCCTGTGGGTAGATTGACATTTCCTTGTCACTCATTAGCCTACCCAGGAGAACACGTCCTGGGGGAATACTGCAGCAAGCCCTGGCTTTCTGTGGTTAAGAGCGTGAGCGGCATCGATCACGCAGCGTCCAGATCTTGGCTCGACACTCGGGTCTTCCAGGAAACACATCTGTTTTCTTCAAAGACTATTTACTATGAGACATCACATATACAAAGACAAGGTGTGATGCTTATCAATCATAATGAACATTTGTGTACCCACCCCTCAGTTTTAGAAATATTTGTTCAGTGCCGACTTTGTGCCAGGTCTGTTGTAGGTACTTGGTTGACAGCAGTGAACAAAAGAAAAAAGAATTCTGCCCCTGTGGATCTAGCATTCTGGAGGCAGGAGGTTGGCAATAACTACCAGATACGTGAGTAAGAAAATTATATAATTTGTTAGAAGTTGGTCAGTGGGCTGGGAAAAGGCTGTGGAGCAGAATAAGGTGGAAAAGGGGAGTGGTTGTGGGGGTGGGGCTTACAGTGTACGGGAGGGTGATGGAGTGGCCTTGTTGAGAAGTGATGTTTGAACTGATTTGAAGAAGGTGAGAGAACTAACCACGTGGATCTTCATTGCATAATTGAATGACAGAGGTTCTTCTGTGACTTGCTTTTTTCAACTTAATATTATGTTTTCGAGATGTCTCCAGGCTAATGTGTGCAGCTGTAATTTATTAATTTTCACTGCTATGTAGTCTTTATTTATTTAAAAAAATGTTTTTATTGATTTTTTAGAGCAAGAGGAAAGGGGAGAGAGAGAAAAATCCATCGGCTGCCTCCTGTATCCCCCCTACTGGGGATCGAGCCCAAAACCCGGGCATGTGCCCTGACTGGGAATCAAACTGGGACTTCTCAGTCCATGGGACGACATTCAATCCACTGAGCCACACCGGCTGGGCATTAATGCACATTTAGCTAACTCAGTGGTTCTCAACCTTCCTAATGCCGTGACCCTTTAATACAGTTCCTCATGTTGTGGTGACCCCCAGCCATAAAATTATTTTTGTTGCTATTTCATAACTGTAATTTTGCGACTGTTATGTCTTAGGCGACCCCTGTGAAAGGGTCGTTTGACCCCCAAAGGGGTTGTGACCCACAGGTTGAGAACCGCTGAAGATTCTAACCATTCTGCTTTTGGATGGTGTCTATCTACCAGTACCATCTGTAAGTATTTTCTCTGTGGCCAGTGCCCGGGATGCAATGTCTAGGCTGAAAGATATGAGCATCTTCACATTTAACCAAGTGTTATGGGTTGGAATGTGTCTCCCTTCAAAGATGTTAAAGCCCTAACCCCCCAGTATCTGTGAATGTGAACTTATCTGGAAATAGGGTCTTTGCAGATGGTCAAGTTGAAATGAAATCATTCTTTAGGGTGTGCCCTAATCCAGGGTGACTGGTGTCCTTATCAAAAGGGAAAATTCAGACAGAGACAAAAGTATAGAGGGAAGACAATGCGAAGACACAAGGAATGCCATCTATCAATCATGGAACACCGGAACCTACCAGAATCTAGGAGAGAGGGCTGGAACCTGTCTTCCCTCATAGCCGTCAGAAGGAATCTGGCCTTTGTAACTAGGAGCCAATAAATCCTTACTGTTGAAGCCACCCAGTTGGTGGTACTTTGTTGCAACAACCCTAGCAAACTAATACACCAAATTGTTTTCCATCGAGATTGTATCTATTTGTGTTTCTACTAACAGTTGAGTCCCTATTGCTCCGCATCCTCATCAGTGCGTAATATATTCAGGCTTCTAAGTTTTTGCTAATCTGGTGGGAATAACATAATATTTAGTTTGCTTTTGATTTGCACTTCTCTGTTTACTGATGCAGCTGAGCATCTTTTCATATGTTTACGGACATTTGCATTTCTTCTTCCATGAAATAACTGTTCATATATTTTACCCTTAGGTTATTTGCCTTTTTCTTATTGATTGGTAGGAGTTCTTTGGGTTCTAGAAATTTATTCTTTGACAGTTTTATGTGTTGCAAATATTTCCTTGTCGTATTTGTTTCAAGTACTTTGAGGCTATGTTTCTAGGTGCATAAACATTGTTACATCTTCTTAATGAATTGATTTTTTTTAAATGAAAAATCCTCTTTATCTTGGTAATATTCTTTGCTCCGAAATCTAGTTTGTTTGATATTAATATGACCCCATCCAGCTTTATTTTGGTTAGTCTTAATCAGTTGGGTGTTGCTCTTGATGCAATCTGACAAACTTTGCCTTGAACTTGGGGGGTTTAGACCATTTACATTTACTGTGGCTCTTTTTATGACTAGGTTTCAGTCTATCATCTTGCTGTTTGTTTTGCATTTGTCCCATCCTTCTCTGCTCCTCCTTGCCTCTTTTTCTGTCTTATTTTGGATTAACTATTTTGTATGATTTCATTTTTATCTCCTTTGTTGTCTTGTTAGCCATTTTGTTAAATTAAACCATTAAAAGTTGCTTTAGGATTTATAATATACATCTTCAACGTATTTCGTCTGCTTTCAAACAATATTATACCACTTCACATATGGTACAAGAATCTTAGAACACTATACTTCTTTGATGTATTTTTGTTGCACATTTTACTTTTACATATGTTATGAATACCACATCACACCATTATTTTTGTTTACAACAGTGGAATGACAGCCGTCTGCCGAGAGCAGGACAATGGGCCTGACAGGGGAGTTTTCTGATGCCCTGGCTCTGGGCACATGCTCATGAAGCCTTGTAGCCCTTGCCTGTTCTGAGCTGGGAGGGTGTGGCTAGGAGGCCCCTGAAGACATGGCCATGCCCCTGGAGACAGGACCACACCCACTAACCTCCTCTGCGGGGAGCTGTCCCCCAGGACCAGGGCCAGCTCTGTTGCTGTGGACACAGCTTTCATTTACCCCAGGGCAGCACGGCAGCTGGTTCCCGAGCCACCCATTAGAAGCCAGGGCCTCTGGAAGAGCAGAGGAAGCCAGGAGGGTTTGGCCAAGTTAGTAACCAGAAGAGCCCCATTGACCTG